AAGCCATCGGTCGGTCGCGCTCGCTCAAACTTATCGCCGGAATGAGAAAGCATGGCTTTCGCGCGCCATACACGCGTACATATCGAGCCGCGCGCATCGGCACGCAGTCGGTGGCATGAGAGATGTTCTATTTTTAAACCGCTCGCTACATTTTCGCGCTAATAAGTCATACTGCTGCTGCTGCTGCTGCAGTCGCGAGTGGCCGGACTGCAGTCTCTTTCTCTTTTGCGCGCCGCTGCTGCGGGCAACGACGACGGTGGCGGCGAGTGGCGGCGGTGCAGCCGAGCCACCTTATATATCTATACAAGCTGGCGAGAACACTTGGCGTCTCCGACGACGACGAGTGGAAATTTCCATTCGCGAAAAGGCATTGGTGCAAGCTACTCGGCGCGCTCTTCTAAGAATCGCGATCGGCACATATGTGATCGCAACACTTATACTTGCATACATCCATACGAGACGAGCGCCGTATCGCGAGGTGACGATGTGTGTATTGTCGCCGTCGAGCACTCGCATATTATGCCTACAGGAATATACAATTACGCTTGTTTAATCCATTGTCATGAACTCGTGCTTGCGCGACTGCTGCTGGCCACGCAGTCCACATGCTACATCCATGCTAAATCATAGACTAGTTCCAGCATGAAAATCAGAAGCGCGATTGATTAAATATTTCGCCCTTTTTCCATTTTTAAAAGGCATTTTTGTTTCTATCATTTTTATTATTGATTTTTAAAATGTCATTCAACATGATAAAGCAGTTTTCTTCACAGAAAAATTACTTGTCCATAGCATTGGGTTATATAGAGATTATTTTTAAGGAGAAAAGCAGGACTTTTTAAAATAAATGAAAAAAGACAAGTACTTTTTAGCATACGATTTTTCAACAGCGGTGCATTTTTAGGATAAATAAGGCATGAAATTTAAAAATGTTCAACCATTCTTTCAAAGCACAAGATAGATAGGCACATTTGAACGCGATGAATGGTTTTCACAGTAAAAAGGAGGAATAAAAAATTGACGGTCAGTGATGCAAGCTCCGTCGTCGCGAAAGCATGAATAGTTTACCAGAATGAATGGATAATGACCCGCGCGTTTCCAGCTCACACGGAGCACTCCTCGCCTTGTACTAGGTCGGTTACTGCACTCGTGTCGCTCGAAACGGCTCATGCTTGTCAGCTCAGTTGTAAGTGTGCGTGAGAGCTCGCACACATGCACCGATCGCAGTACTTACGTGTATGCAGCAGCAGCATGGGTGTACGATGTGCCACGGCCAATCAATGAGCGACACGTGTGTCGCTCTATTTCGTATCTGAGAGCTATCTATATTTGCATCGAAGCGAATCGTTCAAGTAGCGACCGAGCGTCAAGTAAAAAGTAACTGACTTAAGGGGACCGACCTGTGTTAAACGCTTAGATTCAAAAAATAGCTATATAAATCGAAATAGTGGAAATTTTTTTTTTGTAATCGTAAAATATGTTTATTAGACACCTGATTGACCAAAAAAAAATTCTATCCAAGCTCTGAAATGCCAATTACGCTTATTTTTTCATAATACTTAATATTATAATAGGATTCACTTGCCACGCGATTCTGACGTGAGCTTTTCATCAATATTGATCTATGGGGTTTCAAAATCTTCAGAAAAGTACCCTCATCCACTTAAGCGGAGCAGAATTTGAAAAAAAAAGTTTGTTTTTCTTCCAAAAGCTTTAATATGGCTTCTAGTGTTGATAAAATACTAATTTTCTCAAAAATTGGCACATTTTGACGTGTATATAAAGTTGTACGCAATTTTTCAAAATTCTGCTCCGCTTAGGTGGACGAGAGTACTTTTCTGAAGATTTTGAGACCCCATAGATCAATATTGATGAAAAACTCTTTTCAAGATCGTGCGGCAAGTGATTTATAACACAACATTTCGTCTTATGAAAAAAGTGATGTAATTGGTATTTCAGATCTTGGGTAGAAGTTGTTTTAGGTCAATCTGGTGTAGAATGAACATATTTTACTATCACAAAAAAAAAATTTCCACTATTTCGATTCATATAACTATTTTTAGCTGAAGCTGAATTTAAGCTTTTAACACAGGTTGGTCCCCTTAAGCAGTCCAACGTATGAATAATCTATTATTAATAGAACCATGCAACTTTTTATGCGCGTGGCTGGATGATGAATATTTATAAAGAGTGACAGATCGACCGGCGTTCTCGTGGCAAGCGGAAATGATTACTCCAACCAATGCAATCGATTCTGTAAAGTACTCAAATTATACTATTTTTCAACATCAATTTGAAATTTTTTTGGAAATAATATATATCATGGGATAGGACAAGAAAAAGGGTAATAATAAAATTCAAAGATGTAAGATCGAAAATCATCTATATTGAAACAATCCAAAAAAATCAGTACAACAGAATTTTTTGAGTTATCGTTGGAAATTTTTAATAATTTTGTCATCTTCTTTTATTTTCTATCTTCGTTTATGACGATCCAATAAAGATGTTGCAGACAAATTAACTTGCTTGTTTTAATAGTGTATTACTTTTTCAATCATAATTTTGTTAAAAGATTATTTCATTTTTTTCTTCGTCTTCTCACAATATCAAACGCTAATAAATTACATTTTAGGTACGCATATCATATACTTAATAAACATGGAATGTGCTCGTATCGCATCGCTCGCTCGCTAACTTTTTATTTTCAACTATTTTCGCTTTCCCTCAACTCGTGCGTGAATGCCCATCATTATCCATGCAGATATGTATAGGCACACTCTTTTTTATTATACTGAGAAAATAATCTCACAATGCACACTTCGTGGCGCTTCATTTAGCAATAGCTCAAAATTTAGATATAACAAAATAGGGGATCCGCCTATGCTAGCCCGTATACTACTGTCATTATTGCCGCTTTCTTTAACACAATGGTCTCCCCAATTACGCTAGATTTTTATTTTGAGCCATGCAGAGTTAAACGCCTCTTAGTGTTTATTATACATGGACGCGCAAAATTTGAATACTCCGCACGCATTACGCAATCAATACTGTTTGATACTCGAGGAGCACAGCTTCTCGAAATATTTATTCTCATTTTACTTATAAATAGTATTAATTATACGAAGTGTATACTTAAAAGCTAATGTTTCTATAAGAAAATGATTTGCTTGGTAGATGAATCAACGTAACTTTTTGAATAATTTTTGTACGTGACAAATAACGAATTATATTAAAACTCGACGATGATAAGAAACGACGGATCAAATTAGTATTAGTATTGCAGACTTGTGAGTGTGTTCAACGACAATGTAATGACTCCCTGATACGCTACACGTAAGAGTTTCACTATGCAATTTATATAATATTCATACATATAAACATAGATAGAGTATGTTTAACGATAAAACACAGGGTGAGCTGAACGAGCGACGCGATGTACATTGCAAATATTATATACTATATTTATGTCTAGACACTAATTGTTCTTTTCTATTTCTGCCGAAAAAAAAATAGAAAAAAATAAGAATCAACTATATCATATACAAAAATGCGCCTCTTGAACGAAGCACTCATACACGGGGCTGCGACTGCTCCTTCGCGGCTAGCCTACAAGGTCCTGATGGCCTTTTGGCAGTGAAATTCAAACATAACGAATGAAGAGAAAGAAAAACGTTTACCATTTCTTTACTATTTCTGATCGATTTTGAATGACAGTTGAATTTTTGTTTATTGTTCTCTTTATGAAGATAACTTCAAAATTAGGCATGAATATTTTTTACGACAGTTGGCTGTTACGTCCGTCCAAAATGTTTGATATCTCAAAAGTTTTGGCAGTTTTTCTTAAAAACTTAGGCGCAAAATGCTACTAAAATTCACTAAATGCCATTGGTTGTTGAATTATTTTTTTGGTTCAAATTTCAACGTTCATCTCCTCTTCACTCATTCTCAATAAAAATCAGCTCAAATGACCCGAAATTTTTCTTCTCGCTAAGAATAATGTTTATCATGTGAACAATTAAACACTGTGATCAAAACATCATTCGCGGCAATGAAATATATAAAGATCGAATTATAAAACATATCATTAATTTATATTTTTTTAATAAATTGAAACTTACGACAAAACTTTTGAAAATTGCAAATTGAGGAACATGCAGTGGTCATCAATGTATTTTGAACGAGTAATTACAGATAATAGCATCTATTGCTTTGGTATTTCATTTCTATATAAAAACAGCACAGCTGTTTTCGTAAAATATTTTTCTGTAAAAAGTATAGACGAATAAAATTTAAAACTGTCTTGCGTTATTTTATTGTTTTATAGCAATATAAGTCGTCTCATTCATCAATTTTCAAAACTGAATTGTTGGTTAAAATAAATACACAGTGCATCCCTTTTTTCTTTTGCGTATCCCGCTTTGAATCGTTAAGAATACATTTTCACTGGTGCAAACTTTCAAACGAGACCATATCGAGCTTTTCAGTAATTCGAAAAAAAAGTTGGCGATTACAAATGATATTTGAATACATTTTTAAATGAATGTATGTTTGAAAACTCAAGCATTACTTAAGGATAAAAAACAAAATTTCAGAACTTTTTTATTAAATTGAATTTGGCGTTGAAACATAATTTTTTTGTCAGAAATTTCAATGGCTTTCAAAAGTTTGCTCCAATAAAAACGCATTAATTTGACGATTATTCATACCATCCCACTTATCAAACTTTTCGTTTTTTTAAGCAGTCTTTTTTTACTAATAAAGCCATATGAGCTACCGACGAACGGCCTTAAACATAATATCCGACGACACGCGGAAGCGCTCAGTTATTGATAATAGTTTTATTCTTATGTACATCTAATCAATTTGTAACAAATTGCCAATAATTTTCTACTTTGCCTAATTTATGAGTAGTCACAGGAATTTTGATCGCTTTGTACAAGCTGAAAGACGCTTTCAAAGGAATCTTCATGTATCAATACAAGTTATTTATCCGAATAAAATTTTGATATTAATTTTTGCGTTTCTTCGCTTTCTTTATTTTTGCCATATATTACCGTATAAGTCATTTTGCACCAAGAAAAAAATTATTTATTAACTTTTTTTAAATTTTTTCTAAATTAATTTTCATAATAAAAAAAAGATACAATTTTTTCCATTGCTTTATTAAACGTATCAATTACCGTATCAATAACTTACTTTAGCGTTAACCTTGAATAATTATTTAAAAGATCGTACGTTGTAAATAGAGATTCTCACATTTATTCAATAAAATAATTAGTATCACAATTTGAATTTAAAAAATATTTCTTTCTCAGTGCAGACACAACTCTAGCTGTTCGAAGTTTTCTGCATCTCGTTACTTTTTCTTATAGTGTTTGATTAATGCAAAATAATTCTATCTTATCGCTTATGATATCACAGAGTTATACACGTACAGTATTCATTTATATCAATTAATATTTGTTGCTTTCAAGATTTTAAAAGATTTATTTTTTGCATTTTCGTAAAGCTCAAACGTCTCTTTTCTTTTTTCTCATATAATATTTGTCGATTGTTCGAAGAGTAGAAAAAAATTATTTTACCGAAAGGAAAAGCCAGCGGCAGGTGATGTGTCAAAGCTTACTATTTTTGCCGGTCGAATTTCCTCTGAAAAAAAATCAAAGTGGTTTTGACGTTCGAAACCGCTGTGTGCAATGTACGTTGAGCATTGCGTGAGCGAGCTGCTGCAAATTTAAGAATTTCTATTAAATATTTACATGTAAGGCGAACACTCGAACCCAGAGCTCGATGCCGATTCATAATTCGGCCTTTTCCAAATATTGCCGCGTCAACAACAATTGCCGAAAAAGACGTGCGAAATAAATGATAGCCAAAAGCCTCGAGTTCGAAGTGTTTGCCTTCGTTAAAAAAGTTCATCAAATCAAATTTTTTATAAAAATATTACTTTTAAAAAATTTTACAAAACTTTAAGGAGACGACAGAGCTGATCTTCACCGATCGATTGATAAGTCCGTCAAAAGTCGTTCATCTCGCCACGTTTATCGGGATAGAGCTAAATACTTAACCCTTTCGATTGGTCGTTTGTAAAATTTCCGAGAGCCTATTCGAGCTTTCGAGCTTTTCGCCCAAGACAAGTATGGTGCTCTGCAGTGATTGCTACAGCTCCATCATACTCATCACGGAATAAAGCAAAGCCTTGGAATAAACTGGAACTTTGCAAAAGAATCAAATGGCAAAAGTATTTCAAACTGTCACAACAAACACACAAGCAAACGATTTGACGGAAAACTACTCAATAGGCGAAGGTCCATCTCCTACCTCTCCTTAATTCTTTTCTTATGTCTCTTTCAAATCATGAGAAAATAGTTACTTATTGTTAAACTCTGATCGTCAGAAAAAATGACCTTAAATTTTGCCAAAGCGGAACGTCAAAGCGGAAATGTTCGAACGAGTCAGCGTTATATTTGGAGCTTTTTCGAGGGACAATCGAGGGGTGAGTCGCTAATTCGTTCGAGTGCATTGATTAAATGAGTCTGGCCGCGATTTCTAATCACCTGTCCGTTTCGCTCGACTTTTAGCCATACTAATAATCGACTAATAGCACGCATTCTTGAATAAATAGCTAAATAAGTGTATGTAGGCGAATTAAAAGTATTCGAAAAAATTCACTCTGCGACGAGTGCGAGATCGAACAGTTCTATACGCAATAATACGCTGTTTTTTTCCTCTCTTTTCACCTGCAATAGTTGACGCAACAAATCACCGACGTTGTTGCGCAATTCTCAGTTGCGAAGATTTTCGTACTGGAAAATGTGACGATTTCGAACTCGAGCGCGGACAAACTCGTTTGTGACTTTTTTTTCTCTTCTTTGTGCTCGTTATTTATCACAATTGCTAGAAACGAATCCGTTCGGCGAAACGTCGGTGCCACCGCGACGATGTGCGCTCACGTAAGCCGGTGGCGGCGCGCGCGTGACTCAAAAGATCCACGAATAATAACAATCGCGGCAATACCATTTGCCGAACAATCGCGAACGCAAAACTGTTACCTTGCATAAAAGAGACTAATGCGTAACCGAGTCCACCAACAATGACAGTTATTGATGCGTCAAATATCGCATGAGCTTCTTCCAAATCCGCATACATGTACGATTTCTCTTATCAGAGCAGCTCGGCTATTAATTTTTTGTTAACTCCTTTGTTTCGTTCCTTTTTTTTCTTTTTTCGACATTCGCTTTCCCGCGCCTTTCTTTTCTTCTCCATGCGGCGGAGAAAGAAAGAAAGAGCGCCAATTGATGTGAAATCGAGCTGCGCTGCTCGGCTCTCAGGCTCGGAGAAGCCAAGAAAAGATACGATTTTCGGCGCGCAAACGAATGTATATTCACGTCCCAATACACACACACTCTCGCATAAGACTGCTCTCACCTACGTAACTGCTCTCGTACAAAAAGCACTCACAAGCAGAGGACGTCTTCGTCAAGCTGTCAAAAAAATTCACCGTACAATCACGTTTCTAGCGAGTGCGCATCGCGTGCTCCGAGCAACGATAAGATGACTAATACGTCTTTTATCGATAAACGATGTTCGAAGCTGCTGTCTCAAGACTGAGTCGAATTGATGATGTGCAAGTTGAATTCGTCTGATTGACTGTTTCACGCTCAGAGACCGTAATAAAAGCGACTCGGTGCACATTTTTAATGTACACTTCAAAATTTAAGATAGGTTTGAAATTTTCATGTACGAGTGAGTGATTTTTGTACGATTTGGTCATTCGTATACATACATTTAATTCATACACATATATAAGTACTTGAAAGCACGAAACGCTGCTTATGAATACTTAGATAAGTCTCTATCTGTCTATAATTAAGCAGGCTCTAGTTTCATAGGATCGCGTCACTTTGTTAATGCCTAACTGATTCCTTCGAAACATTCTCTCATTCTAAACTAAAAGTTTAATAGTTCTTTATGATTTTTTCTAATAAATAAATTTTTTTCAGTCTCGCGTCTTAATCAATACTTGCGCGATCTTCAATACTATGAAAATCCCATAATGAAAAAAAAATAAAACAAAATTCAGTTGATAGGCAAGCAGATTTATTTAACTTTTTTGAAAAATCTGATTCTCCTACGCTAAATTAGTTCGCTTACATCGCATTTTACCTTGAACTTTAATAACATCACTCTAGAACTTGTCAATAGAAACAGCTGCCAGTACATATGCGTGTATTTGAAAATATTGCTCAATTTATTGAGATGCTCATTGAAAACTCATGAAAAAACAAATGTACTTTTTTCATAAAAATTGATCGGTGATGCTGGTAAGGTTCAAGCTAGTGAGATTGTGTAACTTTTTTTTGTATCATCGCAACACTCCTTCATTCCAACGTCCCTTAGATTATCGCAACGACAACTGCGACTGAGAATCCATTTGAAGCTAGTTCATCTTATCCGAGAAAACTAGTTATGTGAAATTGTCTTAGCCTTAAATTACTTGCTTTATTATTTCAGAAATAAGTACATCTAAAAGACCCAAGTACACCGAACGAACGAACAAACATTTTACATATCTGCATTAATATCTAAAGCTTAGTTGAAATTTGTTCAGTAAAACGGATGATTATAACATTTATCATTATTGAATCGTCCACATATTACGTTTAAGTATAATATGTGCCTGTATTACGCATACTTAACTATGTTGATTAATATTTTTTACGAACAATTTTTCCGTGTAAGTTAACGCCCCTAAGTGTCACTGAACTACGTCTCGGATGAATTCTCAGTCGGTTACTTAGATATAGACGCCTAGATCATTCGCATATTTATGTAACAACGCTCTATATTTCGTTATATATACGTCTGCAAAGTTGCGTATTTAGATGTGGGCAGAAAATATCGCCACTACAGGAGAGACTGCGTGCGTGCATTAGAAAAAACACGTACTGAGGTGTTTGAACCAGATGTTATTCTTTTTTTTGACGATGAAGCACTTTCAGGAAACGGCGATATCGGCACTCTGCGGCGAGAAAATCGTTGATAATAGGCTTTTAATACTGCGCGTACGAGAAGAGATAATAGTGCTTGGATATCGTGGACGAGAGCCTTTGTCGAAGTGCCATTTGAATTTTGTCGTTGCTCTCGCCTGAACACAGACCAAATGTGCAACCGAAGACAATTCGATCGATCGTTGGATCGATGCGAGCGAAAGTCGCGAGAGGAATATGCGATTATCGATCGATTTAAGCTCGGTGCTCTTCTCGGTTGCTGGTATATCTGAGAATTTGACGAGAAGAAACACGCACACCTAAACACACACGCTTTCAGCTCGTAGTGTGGAATTTGTCCTTTGTCGGCCTAGCTGATATTGCTACCAAGTTGGACATTGGACGTCCTGACCTAGCGTCGAATGTTGTTGGGTTTTTGTTTTTGCTTCGCTTTGTTCGATCTAGCAAACGACCTGACAGCTAAACGACGGAAGGACAAAAACGGCGTGACTTTGTGCATAAACCTATGGTTCGACGCGGCCTCGCTCGCGAATCAAATTGGGACTGTGGCTGTGGTGGTGGTTGGTGATGGTTGGTTGAACATTGGTTGTAGTGGTTGCGGTTAACGGCGGTAGTTGGTCTGACGATAGTTAGATGCGTCCCCAAGCCAAAAGAAAAATTTGGGAGCGACAGACACAGAGACACCTGAACCCTCTCGTTTTGCCCGTCGGATGGTGGAGAACCATTTTTATATCTCTCATCGACGGTCTTTCTTCTTAGTGATGTATCATCCAGACAGTATTGAGTGAAGGAAGCATCATTACCTTTGCTCCAGCGCGTGGCGTCCTCAATGCGTGCAGTGCGTGATTTAACAAGACCGTGGGCGATCCGGCGTGCACGAGGTCGCGCGATCGCAGCGCGCTCTCATCCGCGAGGCAGACGGACAGGCACAGACTTTTCACTGTTTTGCCACTCGTTCGGTCAGCCGACGCCGTTTTTGCGTCGCACCAGGATGGCCTTGACGCGCGCGAGAGAGAGAAACGGAGAGAGAGCGGAGAGGCCCACGAGCCAAGGACGCCATCGACGAGGCGTCTTTGCGGGGCAGCCGCCTCGGGAGGAGACCGAGCGCGAAACGAGCTCTCGGAAGCCTCGTTGACTAGCAGCGAGCGGATCAGGCTACCGCTGCCAAACGCTTTTGTTGCTGTCGTTGTTGTTGCGACGCTTCGGATCGATGTCGATGGCGAGCTTCTCTAGGTAAGCGCGACTGAGGCCGCTGTAAGCCTCGTCGTCCACCGGCACGTCGTCGACGTCGTCGACATAGTCGTCCAAGTCGACTTCGTCGTCGTCGACCTGGTCCACCTCGTCGTCCTCCTGCTCGTCATCGGCGCTCGTACTGATAGCGGCGGCGCGACTCGACGCTGCGCTGCTCGAGATCGGCTGCGGTGCCGAGGTGCGCCTGGCCGTCGCGACGTCCAGCGGTTTCGAGCCGTACGGGGGCGGTCGGCCCAAAACCCCTTGATTTTTTCACGACAGGTTGCGCTGGTCGTCGGAGCTGTCCTCGGCCCGCCTCAGCGAGCGCTTGAGCTTGTCCACGAGCCGGTTGTGAAACTTGTTTAACGAGCCCGAGCTGCCGGTCTTTGGTGGCGAGGAGCCAGTACTTTTGCTCGGCGATTGGAGCGAGTTCTGGGACGCGCGAGACGAAGTTCTTGATATGCGGCTGTTTATGGGCACCGACCGGTGCGCCGGTGACGTTAGAAAATCCGAACCCGGCGATGTTGACAACGACGGGCCTTCCGACTTGGAGCACTCCGAAATCTGTAACAGAAAATCAGCAAAGCACATGCCACGTGTTAGTGTCTCTTCCCAACTTACTCAGCTCTTAACTTATCAATACAACATGTATAATTAGAGCAAGCCATATCGATTCTGCTATTCTCAGTCAATTAAACTAATAAAGCAACATTGTACGCGATATCGGGTCACGAGCGGCTGCAGCCAACCTGACACACAACATTGACACTGCACGCTATTGCATTCGGTCGAAACACCTATGATACGCATGTTTACTCTGTCGACGTTAACAAACAAAGCCTCGTGAGTATGCGGAGCTAATAATAAAGCGATGCATTAATTTAAAAAGCATCGTTTTTATTTATTTCTTCTGCGAATGGAAACTAATTTTAGATCAGAGAACGCGAAGGTTAAACTTTTCAATCGAATGGCTTCAAAGTAATGAAAAAATACGGTTTTATAAGAACATTTATTTTTGCAAATTTTTCAAGATCAGTCGAAAGCACAAGTCGACGGGTTTGTCCAACCGCAGGAAAGTAACACACTATCGGTCGACCTTTATCGCAGAAATGTGAATAAATTATCTCGAGGAGCAACAAGGAAAAGACGGAATGATTTTTGCTTGAAAAATGCCGCGCTCGCAAGGATTATGATTTCTCTGCGTTAGCATTCAGGAGAATGCGACGTGAGGCTAAAGCATCGAACTGCGTCGCGCGCACGGATCTTGACGCATACAACTCGTTCGCTTGTTTTTCATTTCATTAGCCGTGTGATTAATTTTATGCTGCGAGTATACTATCCTCTATATCCATTCATCCGAGGCGTGCACGAGTAGATCTCGGAGTGTAAACAAATTACACATCGAAAATAGCTCTCGACACTTGTGTTTGCGGCTAAAAATAGCCTTTAATGTCGCTGCACGTAGTCTATCTACGCGTAATAATACCGACAAAATGTGTGCGAGTGTATGCGCGCGCACTGAGTATATACATAAACGCATACATTCGCAATCGGCGTAATTGAACTCCCACCGGATATGACTCGTTTAGCGAGTAAAAACTGTGGGCTCGCGTACGCCTTAGATTATATTACTGCTGTAAATATACACAGACGTGAAACTGTTCCTTTGCACATAGTCTGCAATCAAACCGATACTCGTAAAGATTTTGGTTTATCGCGTTTTCGTATTGTAGCGTATCGATACGTACTTATAATATGCGTTTGCGAATACAACGATGGGTACAGTCTCGTCAAGGCCGAATCGAGCTGTGTAAACATTATACGGATTACATTATACGGAGCTTATAGTTTCTGCAGTTGGAAACTAGAACAGCTTTTATTGTAGCGCTCGGAGGATCGATAGGTTTAAATTTTTCCCGACGTGCTATTATTACTCGGGGTTGCACGAATTTGTATGATTTACATACTGGTGACAATTGTTCTCGATCCTGAAAAGCTAATGCAACAAATTTTAAGGCCAACGTAGAGTTAATACGTAAACATACTAAAAACTATAGCTTCTTTGTTTAAGGAAATCGTCGGTATTTTTAGGAAAAATTTATTTCGAGCAGGGAATAATCATAAATAAGGAATCCAGCGCCAAGACTGCAGAAACTTGTAGGAGCCACAAGCCCATAACACGTGTCTGGTTCATCGTCATTGTTATTATTGCTTTCTCGCTCTTTTTACCGGCTTTATTCGTTCGATGTAAGTGTGAGAGCGCGCGCGTCTCCGCCTGTATATGTGCGTATGTGTGCGAGACACGCACGTAAAAGTGTCTGCATACGACTCTCCCCCTTCTATTATACATAACGTGCACTTTTTGCCAGCCTGTCTGGCGATATAATGCCGCTGCAGCTGAGCTCCAGACAAGGCCGATAAGTTGAGCCGATTATACGCGAGCTGCTTTAATTCGTACGAAAAATGCGCGCGGCGACTTTTCGGGAGTCTGCGCGAGATGGGAACTTCCCATGTGCGAACACGCAAGTTCGATCGACTGCACGTGCGCCTTCTTTGGAACACTTTCGACTGGCTTAACGTCCATATTCTACTCCTTTTTTTTTCTTGTCTGAAAGTTCGGATTTAATGATTTCGAGCAACCATAATCGCCGCCATAATCGTAATCATTTTTATTTTATGAAAAACTTAATGATCTCTGAACATGAACTATTAATCGACTGCTTCTTAATTTTTTTCTCTTGTACCACTCACTCAGAAAAAGTCTTTTTTTGCATATGGATAGCTGTTAGAAGCGTGAGTCAAAAAACAACTAAAATCAGCGCAGAAAGACTCGTGGCTTTTAGCTAAAAAATAGGAATTAAATAGTCAAGTAGCGAACGCGCGTAACGCGCAGCACACAATTTCACATCACGAATGTGCATTACCCTACTCGATAAGAGCTCGTACAACGACGAGTTCGTTACAAGTTCACCCTTGAGAGTTTGCTTTTGCTTTCGTGTTTTAGAGAGAACCCTGAAAACTTTTAATCGCGAGTACGCGCGTACGAATTGCGAAATGCTGATGTCCCGTCGACGTCACCGAAGGATTTAATTTTATCATTCCGCAGCCGAGTTAAAAATAAAAAGTGTCGACCGATGGAATCGCTAATTACGATATATAAAAAGTATTATTATGATTTGAAAATAAATGCGTGTGCGCTGCACATTGACTTTAGAAGCACATACATACATACAAACAGGAGTCATTAAAAATCAGTGCAATGTATTAATAAAATCAAATCAATCGCTCCTTAATTCGTTCTCGTTTTGATTACGTAAATCGCATGGCAAGTTGTCTCGGCGCAATTTATCGATCCGCTCTGACGCGCCAACATTAAGAGGTCATTCTAAATGCGAATTATTTACTGCAGTTAGGCGGCTGTCATAAGCCCGTATTTGCCGACGTAATATATTTTTTTATATGTATAAAAAAGTCACGCGCACATAACGGATAAGTCGCACAAACAAACGAAAGCTCGCGGAAAGATTTCAATGAATGAGCTCTAGGTCGGATTTGAGCGACAGTGGCAGCATGAATGACTGTCTCGGTACGGTCTCGCGGGTCACACGCGGTTACGAGGGCACCCCTACTTTTCATACAACCCGTAAAAATTTCATTCTAATTCTATTGTGAGTTATAATAAATTATTTTTACTTGAAACTTGGTAGTCGTACATACGTGTTAGCACATGACCCGAGGTCAAAATCACATTAGTCTGAAAATCAAATATGAATGGCTAGCATCAATAGATCGATAAAGTGGACATAATTTTTATTTATGTACTAACTATTTTAACAATTTTCCAAATGAAACCCAGTAAACTTGGTTAAGACGTGAACTTGCAATCCCGATCTCCACATAAGTTTTGGTTAAATAAGATATAAATCAAATATGGAGATGAGTTAATCGATTTTACACAGCAACTATTTTCGCGAGATTTTACTCGATTATAGAAATGCATTTGTTGACGAGCGCCTTTATTATTGCTGCACAACATGCCACCAAATTATTTGTTCATGATGCCACCAGAGCTAATTTTAGAAACCACTCTGATAAAGAAAATCATTCGCATAAGCTTGTGATTGTGTTGGTCGATTAATTTATTATAAAAAACCGGCACGGGGCATGGTAAATATTTTCGTCATCGCGTGTTATTCTATATGTAACGAGCCGCGACCACCAGGGCCGATCACGAAGGATACGGATAAGATTTAAACTCAGCGAACATGAAAATCGGAGCTATTTGTTAGACTACATAACGAGGCGCAATCGGATGACCAAGCAAGGCGATATTTTCTTAATGTTTCGTTGAAATGAAATAATGATGTAGTTATTGCACTATAATATGGCGCATAAATTCGCGTTCATTCAAGGTCCAGTCATAAGCGGGATAATAACGGATTTTCTTTATGTTAAACTTGGCTGACAAAAAAGAATACTTTTATGCGTTTTTGTGATACGTCAATGCTGGAGCGTTTAAATAGTTTACGCAAGTGCGTCTGTGAATGCGTGTCAAGTCGCCCCCAGACCGTTGAAGGCACGAGGAAGCTACACACACGTTACTCACTCGCATGTCTTCGATCCGATGAAGAATATTTAGCAAATGAGTAATAATTCCAAAGTGCTAACTCGATAAACATTTTCCTCGCACGCATAGAACTCAAGTATAATCTCTCGCGGTCTTCCTTTGACTTCGGAATGAAAAGTTAGATGCGTATCTGTATGTATCATATGATGCAATGTCACGTGCAATTGTGTATTTACACACAAACACAGGTATACGACTTTTGCGAGTCAATAGCACCGCTATGCATGAATCACGTGACAGCTCACCTATACTTGTATAGGCTTATGCAGCGGTGGGCTTGTTAGTTTACACACACATGCATATACTCGAGCTCGTAACAAAAGTCATTGCGAAAAACTAGTAAGGATATGGATAAGCAAGTTCGTTGTACGATTCTTGTATGAACCTCGCGTCGCATACGTTAATCGATCGTTTTCTGTTATCTGCGTCTCTCGTTTACTGAAGCGTAAAAATGAAAAGAGGCTTGCGTTATAAACAAAACAGGTATCATGTAATTTGTCCCTAAAATATTCATAACATTTCGAATTAAAAAAAAAAGCGAAAACGGATGACTCCAGAAGTGGAAAATGCGGGAAAAACTAAAATTTTCAGTGTCGCGGCACTTTTGAAGAGATGTCCAAACCCCAGTGTATACCTATGTAAACGGCGAAAAATTTTAGTTTTATCATTGCGTTAAATGACGTGTTTGTTTCTAAAAATATCGGCGTCTCAATAGATTATCCAAATTTGAATTTTAAATAGCTCTGTGACGTTCAAAAATATCTTTGCGTCTTTCCTTTTTTTATTTTTCCTTTTTTTATTTTTCCCACTCGATGCAATGAATTTTTCCTTATTTGTGCGCCGAGTGTTTACAAATTTCCAAATAACTAAATAATCGTTGCACGTCGATGTCGGCTATATGTCAATTGGCCCCATTCTTTATGCCTTTTTTCCTCGCTCCTATGCTGCGTCGATAATAATCAACTCGCTCTAATTAGTTCAATTTCAGCTACGAAGGTTAACGTTCACATTTTCACTAAAAATAACATAAAAACGCTCAGGAATTACAAGTGGAGAAATGTAGAGCGTCGTTGCGTTCATTAAGTATACAAGAATCCCCGAGACGTACGCGAGCGCTATATTTAAATGCGTCTGCTCCGACTGCAGTAAAAGTAATGCGTACTACATGAAAGTGCATATGCGCTTACATCGAGCTCGAAATTCAAAGAAGCGTGCAAGACTAATACTTATCGATTTGCAATTATATCGCGTGCAAAGAGAACACAATACGTTTTGTATTGTGCGTGCTAGAAAAAGAAGCAGGTCCGGTAGAAAAAAAACTTTTTTTTCGAAGAACAGTCATTGGAAAGCTTCGCAATTTTGTAATTCGACACTACTTGCACGATCGTTTCGAAAATTTATTATGCGTAAAGAGGGGCAATGTTTGCTTAGCTGAGTTGTGCATGTTATCGTATTTCCGGAATAAGGCAGAGACCTCGCAACGGGTCTCGTGAGACCTCGAATTTTAATCCACGCTCGACGCTCTTTCGCCACCGAATGAAAATATTTTTATTATTCGATTCGCTGTCGATGACTTTTACACGAAACGGTGCGCAAACGTACGGGCGATTTTGCATCGTTATATCACTGACACTTTCTGTGGCGTCGTTTGGTCATTCGATTATTTTCGTGTACGTGAACTCACTGAACGAATCGTGAGACGTCAAAAAGACCAACTAGTGCAACAATTTTTTATCGGTGCTGTCGTTGATACTGAATAGGCATGAATCGATATGGCTCTATAAATATATGAGAGGGTCGAAGCGCTTAACGCTAGGCGAGAGGCGTTTTAACATGCACATTAGTAAACATCTATGATTCGCACGGGTAAATTATCCACACACTCGAATCAATTGAAATTTTAAAAATCGAACTGCACATTTTCACGAGGCAAATTTGAAAATGCATGCGAGGTAAAGAACCCAAACGACGCCGACTACGAAAGGCATCGATCCGCACAGTTGATAAACAAAACTGACAGTCAAGGCCTCACACTATCGGAGCCATGGCAACTCGCGAACTCTTGAGCACTTGTATACGTCGCGATGCCTTTCGCGACGGCCGTCAATTTTTTCCATACACAACACTTTCACATGCTTGGGTACATGCACAGTCTGTTATAGAAGGCGGCATAGAAATGTCGTGGATTTTGAATAATTTGTCGAATTGAACTCACCTTTCTGCTTCGACACGCCTGAGGATTCGAACACTCGGACGAGCGCCTGCTACGGTTGGTCTTGTAGATATCCCACTCGTTCTTGACCACTGGCATCATGAACGCCATCTCGACTTGTTCGATTTAACCGTCGCCGGCGAGTACTGCACTGAACTTATGGGAAATGAACGCGTACAGTAGACGTTAGAGCAACGTCCGCTCGATTCGTGTCCGATGACTAGGCAATAACAAGTCCTCGATGCAAGCCTGACGAAGTGGCCTAAGAGCCGGCAGTTGGAGGTCGATCGCGTTTGGTCACCGACTCTTGAATACCGGCACTTGGACTGTCCAACTCCTAGTGCTGCCGCTGTAGCTGCAGATCTGGCTGGGCCTTGTCGCTCCAGCGCACGATGGCGCTTCGTTTCGTCGATCCGTTTTGTGGCGCCCAAGCGTACCCCGCAGAGACGACGATGCCTTGCTAGCCGTGGCCGTAGTTGCTGCTTCTCTCGCTCGCTCTCCGTGTGCTAGATATCGGCTCTAGCAGTGCGAGCTCTAGGCTGCGCGCACACAAAACCAAGTAATCCAAGTGTCGTTGTTACAGCAGTAGTTCCGTAAACACAAGCGCGCTGCAGCCAACTGCTCAATTTGACTTTTTGTTTCTCTCTCGATCTTTCTCCCTCTCGCTTTCGCGTCAAATCGAGAACTCTCTCACACTAGTCTGGCCTCCAAAGTGCTATAGCTGCTGCTGCGGCTTTGACTGCGTCTGCTGTTGCTGATGCTGCTGCTGCTGCTGCTGCTACTGCTACTATTTTATACACACTCGTTTTCTGCGTTCGCGTTTGCGAATGAATCAGAAAGCCCACACTGGAAGAGAAACCACATAGACGAGCTATTTTCCACCTACTTGCAATGTGACAGATCAACGTGCGCGTTGGATAGTATGCGGAAAATCGCCTCGTCAATAGCTTCCTGCTTTATTTCGCAATGTGATACGCAATCGCAGAGAGACGTTAAAATATGTTTTATTTATTTTGGCTTTAGCTCTGTTCTCGCTATTATATATGTATATATATCGTGATGACAATCCAATATATATAGATATACGTATGACAATTTGATATTTATGTGCAATATATATCTATATATATGTGTGTGTAATAATTTTAATATATATATATTTATATAACGTATCGAGAATGTCAATTGTAGTTGTCGCGCGTGTGCGAGCCGTACGATCGCTTGATCGGAAATGAGCACGCTGCCTGGTGTACGCGCTACGCCAAGCGTAAACCCGTTCGTGCGCGCGCGCATAGGGTCGAGGTAACGTTGGCTGCTGCACAGCCTGGCGCCTAACTGCGCAGTGGGGTCGCCGAAACTCGGCCCGGGTGGGGATATTCTCCTCGGCATTGGACAGACACGAGGCGGGACGCAGACGTCATCGGCCGCCGCGGCTCGGCCAACACACCATTGATTTTCTCGATGTTCGTACACGCACCAACACTTGTACGGAGCTGCCTCGCACGCGTCCCGTTCTGTGTCTGTGTACACGCACACTTGTCAGCTTGGCACATACACACGATACACAGGCAGATGTGCGTGTATCTGTGGCTTTTGTGCATGTGTGCGTGGACTGTCATTGCGATGCGCTCGGGCTCGTGTGTGGGTATACGTGCACACTGGCACGCAGTCCAATATGCAGCTCGGCGTTTCACGATCACCGACAAACGCACACGATTCAAAGGCGCAGTCGAGTAGTCGTACGTGCGCACTCATACATCCATGCATAAACTTGGTAGAGCGCGTCCGAGCCGTCGCGCAGATATAGATTACGTTGGTGGCTGCGAGCGAGTTCCAAAAGCTATGCAGTATTTATATATACCTCTATATATTGCACAGCTGCACGGATATATGTATACTTCGTTGTACGTAACTGCAGCGCGCGAATTCGTCCGTGTGTATGCGAATGTATAGGCGAGTGGAGGCGAGAGTGACGTAGCTGCAAAGACAGGAGCGAGCATTGATTTTTCCCTCCCCAGCACCTCGGATCCGCGCCCTCGTACGAATCTCGTTTCCTTATCCTTCTACCGCTTTTCTTTTTTCTTGCTTCTTTCTTTTTTTCTTTCGATCTCTGCTTTTGGGGCGATAGATCGCGAATATTGCAGCGCAGTATCCTCGCGTGATCCTTAATCATTTCCGTGACCGCCTAGTTATGTGGCTTTTACATTTGCCAACTCTATAGCTACTTTGCCATTTCTATATTTCATTCTCTTGCTTCCTCTACTTTACGAATGTATGCGCGTCTTGCTGCCCCTGGCGTCGGCTTATAATGTAAGTCGACCATCTGAAGACGGGCTATCTTTGGAGTATCCAACTTGTTTTTTAAACTTCATTTTGCTTTTTCTCAATAAACCATGTACAATCGACGGACCGATGATTTTTTCGATAGGTTTCTGCCTTACCAGCTCCAGATAGTAACTTACCAATTTATGAACATTTCTAGAGAATTGTTTATTCCATCTTTATTATTGGCCTTTAAAATTTCAGACCCTTTGTGTTGGTTAATATCGATATAATTTGAATGCTTTGACTTCGGGTACACAAGGCTCGAGTATTGACTCTTGAAAAGCTCGTATATGCAAATTAAGCGGTATAAATATCAAAGCGGCATTAGCCAGGACTCGATCTCGTAAAAAAAAGAGTAGTCGATATATGTATACGCAAGTGTCGGTGCTATACGAATTGGAAAGAAAAGTGCGCCGCTCGGCAAGTGTACTCGTATGCGAGCCTCGAAGAAGGTTACTACGTTCTGACCCCAATAAAGCTCGCAGTGCGGAGTTCATGAGCATACATGTATATGGATAAATATGTGTGAGTGCACGCGTGTGTGTGTGTGTGTGTGTGTAAACGCCGCAAGGCGCAACGAATGCAAGGACAAACGTACAATTGTGCATGTACACTCGGTACTGCCTCCAGATATATAAAGAGGCATGTACACGAACGTATACCTGAATCGAGTACTCGATTCTTGTTTACGGCATCAGCACACGGGTCGAACGCAATTCGATGGTATTATTCAAGCTCCTCGACGATGCCATTCGATAACACGTGCACTCGAATCTCTTGATTACCATAATGGCTTTTCCCGGTCTACGCATCGATCGAACGCAATTCCGATAAGGAGCTCGTCACTTGCAATCCGCGTGCTTCTAAAGGAGTGCACAAAGAAGACGAATTACATTTTTCAGAGTGTAGTCGTTTCGTGAATTTACAACCAGTTTCCTAATTCCCGATACTAAAATACTCGAGTGATTCAATGATCCGCTTTTCCATGTACGAGCTTTCGCAGATTGTTTTTTTATATTATTTTCGCTCAAAAATATCAGTTGAAATGAAAACATGCACGAATGCGTAAAAAAAAATCTGGTTTAATTATAATAACGTTTTCATGTCATCAGCGATCTGCAAAACGTCCGAGTAAACATAATGCCTTTTATTTCTTGATTCAATACACTCATTTATCGATCTTATAATTCATGCAACGATACAAATCCCAACGCATAATACTTCCTAACGTTTCAATAAGTTTCAAATCGCAGAAATCCATTGTTTCGGATGACAGATACTTACAGCTACTCGTTTGGAAACAACATATCTCATATACTTTCGTTCAATTTTTCTCTTTTTTTTTGTTTTTGTTAGATCTGTTGTTATCATTGAGGTTTTTTTTACGCATTTATTTCATCGCATTATTATTGAGGATTGTAAAAAGTCGCTCGAATTAACCAAATTCTTTTTTATAAATTCAATTTTAATGAGAAGAAAAACACGAAAATTGTTATATTACAGTGTTTCATGTGTCACATAGAAATTGTAATTAAATATAAATAAAACTATGCGACAAAGAGTTAAATCGTCATCGATTTTAATGCCCAGTAGATGGTTCGAGAAAACGACACTTTTATCACTCATTTATTTGTCATTATCACTCCGATAACTGAATTGATATTGTGTAATAAGGATTCATGATGCTTTAAGTAATCAACAAACAAGTATATAAACTGTTTATATAAATGCTGTGAATTAGAGCTAGATAATTGCTGAATAAATTCATTCATTGATAAGTTAATTTTAAAATAACGTTTTTGTGATTGCGTTAGTCGTTTAATCTTTCACAAAATTGATTTTGATTTCACTAATTCGTATTTAATTAAAAATTGATGAGAGATAATCGTTGCGAGCCACTAGACGGTAAGTATCGAGTCGAGTGCTCAAAATATTTTATCAAATTAATCAACTGACATTAACGAGTCGACAGCAGCTTGGACAAATTTTTTTCCTCCATATTACAATTGCAAAACATAATGAACGGTTTGTAATGATCGATACTATCGCACTCGCGCATTTCACCTCCGTATCTTTCGATTCCCAGTTTTGCAGCTAAGGTTAGCTCATAAAAATTATAGTGTGCAACAGTCAGGTTGCTCTTCCGCAAACGACCTTCATGAGCTACGGCAGAATATAGAGCTACACTGTAGCCGCAGCTTATAGAAACTGCGAGGGCGTAAGCTTGACCTCGACCCTCTTCTCGAGTGGCGCGCGTAATGAAAAACTCCTGGAAATCCTGGAATTATTCATATACCTACGTGTGCGCGTGCATCGATGCGCTACCGCGTGACGATACAATTTGGCTCGTGCAAGCTATATGGAAGGAACACAAAAAAAAAGGCAAAAGCTCGGGTCAACATTACAAGTGCAGACGCAATTATGGGCGACCGGGGGCGCGCATGTGCGAGCTTGCGATCGAGAGAAAAGTCGCGCATCATAAATTACGCAGTTCACACATACGACAATGCCTACGCGCATGTATACATGACTGCAAACTCTTCGATATAGGCGCATCTGAAGGTCGGGCATCATGAATGAGCCCTCCGGCTTGATGAGCTTTTATTATAATGTACATATCACGCGAGTCGCGCGACAAATTGAAAGCGCATAAAGTGCGAAAAGCTCGTGCAAAGGGTGTGATATTCAATCGTCCAGGACGTCGAGACTGAAAATATCCAATAATGCGACGTAAAAGACGTGGGTTGCGTGCAAAAATATACGTATGCCATAATACGCAACGCGAAATCAGATAAGGTAGAGACTCGCATGTACATGGCCATTTGTAATAGAACATCATCGTTTGACGTGTTAAATAGGAGGATGAACAACAGGTGCTAACGATTCAAAGCACCACCGATGTTATATGTGTTTTCTAGTTGATACTGTCGCTGCAATGATTCATTGGACATTACTCGCGCGTCATACATGCGAAGCAGTTGAACAGTCCACGAGTCTAAATTAACTTCGCTGTTTACAACCTTAACGCATGTATCAACTATAATTTATTTTTGCAACATTAATTGAAAATCAACTCGAATGATAACAGTATGCTGATTCATTTACGCTAGAGCGAATTAATTTTTTTATATCCCTTTATATTAATAACTGTACATAATTATGCAATTTAATGACAACGAATGAACATTTGTTAACGTTTCATCGCTGTTTATTTATGAATGGCATAAGTATGGAAGTAGCACGTGATGCTCAAAATTGTAAATATTACCGCGATTAGATGATATTAACCAAAAATTATATGTTTAAATTAAACTGAATATTCATTCATCAAAATTGAATTAAATTTTCAGTCTTCATATTGACAAAAAAAGTAGATCAAATGCGCAATGGAAAATTTTAATTTTAACCTTCAAATGATAATGAAAAAGGTAAAATAATACAATTAGTCGTAAGTAATCAATTTTGAAGGTGATGCCAAGCGTTTTTAGAAATAATTAACGACCCATGCATATTCCCTGAAATGGATATCTATGTAATAAAAAAATTTGTATCAAGATGAAAAATACTTTATCTTCTCGTGTCATGCCCATAATCAAATTTTCAGATATTAAAAAAATCGCTGTACTTATATCGAAGTTTAATACAAGTCAAAATTTCTGAATTATTTTTTGTTGGTAATATTACCATTTTAAGATACTGTCATCATTACCAATTATTTATCTACAATTTTGTTACCTATCATCGGCAAAGGAGTTTTCAAACACGAGAAAATTATATAATTACGGAATTATTTTGTTTTTACCAAGAAATCTATGTATAAATATTAGTATTTTCGATTGAAGTAAATTCGAGACTTCTGAAAACTGTCCCCTTCAGTTAATTCAAAAATATTGTGGAACATGCATAGAGTAAATTTTCTTTCTTGGAAATTACAAAAGTCGCGTTCAGAATTATATGCGAGATTCGTAAGTACAGAAAAATCATTTCAAGGAACAAGCACAGTATTCAACATAGACTTCCATAACCACGTTACAACTGGGCTAGTATAAAATATATTGTATTTCTTTTCAAAACGTTTTGGAGATATGAGAAGAACAGAAGTACTAGTTACAATTCGTTTTAATATATTTATAAAAAAATTAAATAAATGTTCGTTAATTTTTACCTCATTCAATCTGACATTTAATTAACACGCCAAAATAAGATTCCCTGTATAAATAATTATCTTGCTCATAAAATCTTGTCATTTTCAAGTCTGCAAAAAAAATAGGCCACCTATACGGTTTATTCAACCAATAACAACATTTCCGACAAAGTGCAAAATAAACAATAATTTATAAACTTAAAAGTTTTATGATAATTTTCATGAAATTAACTTCCATAATGTTAAATTGGGTGCAGCAAATAGCAATATCCAATGATGTCGTGCATATTCGTGAGAATCCAATTGTTAATTAAAAAATACCTCGAATCTATTTTGATCTTGGATATATATTTAATATCAAACCAAGACATTGAATATCTAACAGTGTGGGTAAAATGATAAAACTTTGTAAAATGTTTAAAATTTAGCTAAATGAATTCATCATCTTCTTGTTTTAACAAGTTAAAACTGATTTTAAAGTAGGTGACAGTGGAAAGATCATTGAAAATCTTCGTTCATTCAAATACATTAGAGCTCATCAAATAATAAGATTTATCGATTAAGTTTAATGTTAATTACAATAAGTTGAAAACATATAGGTTTGATTGATAAGCATTATTACTCTATTACATGAAAATAAATTACTGATAAGATCTCATATTGAGCGACATAGTCCATCAAAAAGTTGCAACAAACGAGAAAAATTAAAATCGTTATAGTGTTTTTATTCATAATTCATAGTAAAAATTACTATAACTCTAGTAATATTCAGTGTAATGTCTCACATGTCAAGAATGCAGTTACTTTCCCAAAAAATATAGTAAACATTTATGTATAGGGTATGCAGGCTTATGAAGTAATTTTTACCTTATCAGATTTCTCAGTGTATTTATACTTTCTACAAGTATTTTTAAATTGTACTCTAATTGAAAAAGAGTAAGAATTCTGTTTCATATTATAAAAAAAGAATTTTAAAAAAATTAGGGAAAAATTTGACGCATTATAAAAATAGTTTCCTGAACTATCTTAAATAAATTGCTCACCCAGTTAAAAAAAAAAGTATATAATTATATGCAATCGAACTAATCGAACCAAATAGTCGATTCGTTATTGTCAATAAAAATATTTACAACCTTCAAAGTTGAAAACAATAATGCACTAAATGAATCCTATCAATAATTTTATAAACAATGAGCAACCATGGCCTATGGTAAAACTATTCGAGTTCAGCACTGCAAGTTGAGGAAAAAAAGGCAAAAATTTGGCCCGTCCGAACGAACTCGGCAGCTATACCACTGCGAGCGTGAGTCGAATGCGCGCACACGCTGTTTGTTCGAAGTGCCAATGGCTCGGCGGCGCGCGGCAAACAACAGCGACTTTAGTCGTGCAAGTGCGCTTGGTCGCACTGGATTCAACGTCCTATACATCAAGTGTACATTCGTAGCTTTTCACGACTTGGGCTCGCGCACGTCTGCGTGCATAAATACGTTCGTATACATGCACCACATATAAGTGCAGTGCCGCCTCGTGGCACGGAAGCTTTTGCCCAGCAGCGGGAAAAATCGAAGAGAAACTGTTTGCTGTGGTTTCCAAGGAATACGCGAGCTGCGCGACTTGTGTACGAGTTTTTGCGGGCGTCGCGGCGGGACTCGCTTGTGTCAACGACATGTGTTGCGAGTAATTTTTCGCGATTCCGGTCACGCGCATCGTACTCGCGCTCGTGATCGCAATTGTGGTCCATCGGGACGAAGCTTTGCTCCGTTTTTCTTGATTTTTTTCGAGCGTCAAAATGGTCTTCGAAGCCGTAAGCGAGGAGCAGAGGCAGCAATTTTTTCGCCAGGGCTGCAACGCGCATCTTCCCGGGTGAGCTACATCAATTGATTCAAATACTATATCGATCGATAAGCTAAGCTCTTGTAGCTTTCTGTTGTTTCAAAACATACAAGTACAATTATTATTATTTATTTACACGCAAAAAATCAAAAAAGAAACTAAATCACGATAAAATCGTATTGATAATTCAAGATATCGATAAGATACATGAAAGTATTGTTACAGCTGATGTAATCGTAAAAAAGCCAATTAATTGCATTGCACTGAAATGTTGTATAAGTCGAGACAGGTATTGCCCAAAATTATTTTCAACGAGCGTCATATATAATTTCATAGAGACAAATGTCTGATTCAGGATAATTTCACAACGTAATTACGTTCCACATACTGACGTGCTTGTTTTATTCGCTCGATGCGAGACAGACGTGACACACTTGGCTCTATCTTTGCTCAAAGTTTTGGAAAGCAAAAAATAGGCTGGTCAGGTGCGCGCAAAAAACTAGACCGGACAAACATTCGCATCGAAGCACGCGCTTACAATAAGGATAACATTGGTCAGGTGGCAATAGTGTCCGAGCAGACAAGCAGCGGCGCGCAAAGCTTCGTTGAACTCTACAGTATACGTCGAGTTTTCCGAGTGTGCAAGCAGGCCTCTATATATGTACGAGCATCGATTATGCCGCTCGATGCTAACTCGGAGCTTCTTCAAGCGTGAACGATCTTTTTTTTTTTTAATGCGCGCCCATTTATGAGTAGCGTAACGAAGATGCGCTGCAAGTCATAAACAAAACAGTGATTTTTGTTTCAAGGCGGCGATCATCGATGACATGAGCAAAAAATTCAACAGCTCGATCGGGATCGCGAGCTACTGCGATACAAACGAAAGAACCACGACTGAAGTGTATGGATTTTTTTACTGTCAACGACTTGCCCTTAACCTTTTTTTGCCGGTAAAGTGCGCGATATCAAATTATGGAACTAGCTCGCATTGCTGACCATACGTATATATTCAACTAAAAGTAGAACCCCTGAACACCTTCAAGTAGACCAGGTCGATGCAGCGAAAAACGAAACGATCTATACACTCACACACACACGTTTATTATCAAATCATATGTGAGACAATTAGTGAAAGCAATATTTTATTAATAAATTATTCTATGTCGTTTACTAACTGCTAGAGAAAGTATTTTTTTTTCTGTAGTTCGCAGAATCTTCGCTCGACAGTTATTTTATTACGATTCAGTGATTTTGATAATAACATGCGAAAAGCTGATTTTATAAGGCCTTCATTTTCGACGATCAATACATGAATCTCATTTTTGTGTTCGCGATTTCGCGTTTCGGCATGCGGCGCAACGACTACCAATCATCACAACTTTCTTTGCCTTAAATGTTTCATATCGAATCAAAGTCAGGAAATTACTTTTCAACCAAAGTTTTAGCTACTTCTAACTGGCAAAAAGAGAGTTTAAATGAATTAAATATCGTACAGTAAACCAAAACATTTTACATGGTAAGTGGCTTTTAGTTTTCGCAAGACTGCAGCGAAAAAGTTTGGTAATAAAGATTCTCGGAGGACGATAAGCATGACGAAAAGAATATGAAAAATAAGCAGGTCAACGACTTTACCATGTCACACGTCAACAGGTTGAGAGTTTAAAAAGCGTTAAAATACGTGAATTATTGTAAATTACGGGGCCTTTTTTTCTCAGGTATTAACAAAAATCACGAAACACGCGCAGCGAAACTCGGCAGAAAACTTTACAAAATATAGCGAAATAAGCGTGATCATAAATCTCATTCCGATATTCATTTCTGCATATCCTCATCCGCACATATCTATATGCTACAGCAATGAAGGCACACGTATATAGCTGCATAAGGAGAAACGAAAGCTCGCTGGAAACGACGATGCGCCATGCAAGCTCCGCATCGCATGCCCTCCGCAGCGAGCTCCGATGATGCGAAGCTCGCGCGCCACGCGAGACTTTTAATCACGCACAAAGTTGCGCGCCCGCTTATATATATTATACGTGTGTATGCGGAGACGACTGCAGAGTAGGATCACGAATCGCACTACATACGTTCTCTGTGTGGCTCATTCGGGTCTTATTGATTGGCCAAATAAACTTTCTTCGGTCCTTGACTGTATCGACGCTTGCTTATTTTGTTAACAACTACCAGCAGCTGCTGTATTATGCACTGATTCTCTTTGATTTCGGATTATATGAAGAATATATACATTATAGTTAATCGGGACAGCGATGCAAGCTCGATATCTGTTCAACGACTATCGATGAAACTCGCATGCCTCTCGGTCAAATTAACTCATCTGAAACAAATTGCTTTGAAGAATGAAATTGCTTGAGAGAACATTAAAACTTCCGACACTGACGAGTTCCAAGGTAAATAACGAAGCTCCAATCGAAGCTCAAATTCTAATCGACGAGAAAAAAAAATAAAACAGCTGTGTAAAATAATTTACTTATGTCAAGATGAGTAACGAAATGATCTAATCACGTGTGCAATTTAACGTATGAAAATAATGCAATTGTTCCACTGAACTAATTGCTTGCAACACTGCGTATTATTCGATCAATCAGATTTTTTATGAACAAAACAAAGAAATTGCTCGGCGCTTCGTTTTAAACGATGCGGTTAACTCAAACTTATCGATCAACGATGGGACATTGACATTTGGATGCGGAGAACAATAGGAGGTTTAGAAAAAAAAATTCCTGACAATCCGGTCGATGCCATGCGGTGTAAAATCGACCACTGAGCCATGACCGTCCCAGCGAACCGATTTCTTTTAGCCGTAATGTCGGTTCGTGTGTATATGCATGGTGTAAACGTATAAATATCACCAGTCACCAAGTATGGCCCAGTTCGCCTAGACTCCTATTGAGAACCTTAAATCTTTCGCCTGGCGGCGTACGTCACGGGATCATGCCCTCGTGTGCTACATAATAGATTATGTTTACTTTGCTGCTCTTCAGCTCGTGCACGTGCTGTATACTTAATGGCATACATTATCTTTTGATACACAATTTTTTTGTTCCATTTCAGAGAATCGATGCGGGCGATCAAACTCGATCGAAATAGTTTTTGAAAACAATAATGAAAAATAGATTACTCTCTTTACAGGTACACAGGGCACTGTCCGACCTTGAAGTTTCGAGTTGGCAAGCGATACGGAGCATGTACTCAAGAAATTATTAAAGTAAGCCAGTCGTAATTAAGCTATGATTTGCCACTAGAAGCATTGAAGACGATAATATTTTGCCATTGCAGGAGCTCGTGGAGAAAAAGATTTTAAAAACGGAACCTTACAGGCCGAGCATGAACAAGGAAAATCTAGTCCCAATTCGACGAGAGAATATTAGAAAGGATTTGAAAAGGGACACATGCGTATACAGAACACCACCCTACATATTGGGCTACACAGGTGAGAGGCAGTTTCTCCATGGAATTTTTAAAAAATTATTCTTATCGCGCATTCATGGAAAAAATCGGTTCCAAATGAAAAATACACTGCAGCAAGATGTATTGAAATCGGTTCCAATTCAAATAAAACGAACCCAAATAAAAAACAATGAAATATATTGGAAAATATTTTTAATTTTGAATCGAAATCAGTTATAAGTAATATTACGTGGTAACAGAATGAAAATTGAGTCATTTAAGAAGCCCATAAAATTGAATGGCAATTCTGTTAGTCATGAAAATTTTAATTGAATGTTTACTTTCTGCTTAGGCTATATTCCAGGTTACAAGAGTAGATATGGCCTCACGTTTATGCGAGCTGTGGAGGAGGGTGCTACGGAGTGGCGGGAGACCCAAAGCAAATTGCGGGCGCGCAGGGATACAATGAGGGCACAAATTGAGATGCAAGACCCACGGAATTTGCTTTCGCGCGTAAGACACGACAACGTCGATATTGTGATCGATCACGGCCACGGCAAGCGGCAATATTTTGGTAAGGAAAACTAGTCAGAGCCTAGTGTAGATTTTCTGACTCGGTTTACCGTGAATATTTTTACGAGCACTGAGCAATTCATTGGTTTCCCTCGCGATTGTTCTCGTCGAGGACAAAAACGTTTAGTTTTTCATCTTGTACACAATTCAAATACTCAAAAATCACAAAGCTTCTGCGTTTTATTTTACTTTGAAAAAAGAACTTGCATAATTTTTATATGAATAAACCGCAGAAACCGGTCGATAAAATTTATTTTTTATCAATTTTACAAAAGTAAACATTGCAATGTACCAATGGTAGTTATCACCACGTAAACTGAAAACATTTCTCCACGTGATATTTATACCTCGGTTTATAGATTATGTAATACGTAGCATATGTATAAGTAATTATCAATAAAATTAAATTAACCAACATTTATCACTATAAAATACCCAAAGATCTGGTTAATTCAACCACAACAATATGATGTAATTTGGCTTACAGATTATAATCGCAAAAATCATTGGACAAAAAGAAAAAATAAATTCCTTAAAACGGCAAAGCAAAAGTACTGAAACGCTTATTTTGAAAATTGCTTTTATTCATACGTAGCATTATCGTAGGTAAACGATTGATAATTTCTAAATGTTATTACGTGTCAATGATAAACAGTTCGATGCAAGTTATAATACTTGGTTAATTTGCAAACTTCACTTCAATTCTAACAGATAATCAAGTGTCGGCGGAAAGTCCACCGATCGTTGGCTACACGGGTCACATACCCGGAGCAAGAGGACAAGTCGATCTGTCGAAGCGTTACGCGCAGGCAGCCAAACGTGGTCTTGAACTTCACGAGCAGGGACGTCGTTCGAGACTCGGTCAGCACGACGAGGCCGCTATTCAGAGAGTTCTCGATGTGGCCTGTGTCGACGAAACGGGACATTCAAAGCCTTAGTCGTCCATCTGATGATAGAATCATAATTCACTCACGTGATATCATGTAAAATATTGATTGTAGATTTTAATGTAGAAAACCTTTCTCTTCTTTCAACTTCAAAAATTCCTTGTATTTTCAATGCATCGATAGATTTCATGTAATATGCTTGCTCTCAAGTTCATACTTTTAGTCTATTTTATGAAAGTTTCTATATTAAGAATGCTTCAACTTTTAATGTAAATTTGTTCGAAAATGTATCTTTTTAAAATTAATTAATTTAAAAAAAACGAAACTTTTGACAATATAGAGTAATTCTTTGAAAAACACTGTATTTATAATGTGGTGGCATCTGTAATATTTTCTATTCGATTGCTCATGAACATTATAAAATATTTTTGTATGGAATAGTATAATTGGAACTTGTAAAATATAAGCATCACTACCAAAATATCATTTATTAAAAATTTAGCTCAAAGATCAAAAGAAAAAGTACTCTTGCAGTAAAAGATATTATATGAAATAAAATTTAAACTGCAATTAGAAAATCGAAATTAATCGATTAGATCAGAGTCTAAAAACTAATGTGGTTTAGTTAATTTAAATAAAAAATGTTATAATTTTGATATATACTTTTTTGAAATGGGTCACGAAAAAATTTCAACTTGAAAATTTTTCGATTTGGCTCTTAACGAGATATCGTTTTTATCAAAGCTATTTTCATCTTTATTGAATGAAAAATGAAAAATAGCTTTGCGTAAGTTTATTTCTTAAATTATTCATTATATAAATTGTAAATAAATAGCTCAAAGTTGTATGTACTGTTTAGGTTCGGAATTAAAAATGTCTTAAAACTTAGGATTGTTGTTTTCATTAAGTTCAAGGTATCAAAAATACAATACAAAACTAATACTTAAGTTTACAAAATATATGTAATAATGTCCTATGGATGTTTTGACAGCCGACTCAATCTTTCTTTTTCCATTTGTTTACTCCTCTTCCACAATTCGGGTTTCAGTGCATTATGGCCATGAGAAATAGACATTAATCTAGAGAGTACCATTAGCCAATTCAAATCATTTGCAGAAATATTTTTATTGGCTTGTCTCATTTCAACAAAATCTTCTTGAATAAGCTGTGAAATTGATTGCAATTTTTAATTGAAAAATTATTTCAAAATGATATTTTAAGAGTGAATTTTGCAATTCTACCTTCACTGTGTCTTCTGAAAATTCAAATTGAACATTTTTCAAAGAATTAACATACTGCCTTATATCACTTAATTTGTTTTCATCTTTCAAATATTGCTTTGCTGCTTCAAGGACTTGAGGATAACATTTAACTGTATCTGGATCAGGTTGCAATTTGATTTGTATGTGACACTGGAAATAATTTTTTATAAAATTGTTATATTATTTATTATTTATATACTAAAAATTTTAAAACTTACAGGAATAAATGATTTCACATCAGATAAAATTAAAATCGGTATATCTGTGTCATATTCCATATTGTAAAATTTAAAATCATATGCCAGTCTTTGAAACTGCATGATTTCATTTATGGCATTGTAATTCTGTCTCCCAGTAGCTGTGATTTCTCCAGTTGTTAAATTAGTTTCATCTAGAATCAAATGTGTATTTTTACTGAGTTGCAGCAAACCACTGGTTAATCTGTTACAATCATAATCTTTCCTAAAATACCATATGTTCATGATTAGCTTTTTGTCACAAATTTCAAATATTTTGCATTTTCTACTTACTTTGGTATCAGACTCGTATCATTGAGACTTTCTAAAGTTATCTCAAATAAATGACTTTTTATAAGTATTTCTTTTAAAATATCATAAAAATCTTGTTTGAAGTTCATGAATTGTTCAGGAAAGTGAGATATATTTATTGGGTAAGTTCCAAGGCACATGCACTCTTTTCTTACATATCTGCAAAATTGTGTTTGAAAAAAAAAATTATAAAGTACGTTCATATAGTTATATAATCTGTAAAAATGAAATCTTACACTGAGGAAATCAAATGACAAATAAGATAATCAGCAGCAACTTCATCACCAAAGAGCAATGGACTAAGCAATATTTTCAAGTCCCCTCTAATTTTTTCTGCTTTTGGGAGTATATGTACAGGATTAACAATAAATTTATTAATTTCATCAACTATTTTAATAGCATGTAATCGTGGAACAATTGTTGCTGGTGGATGTAATGTTTGTCTTTCTATATCTAACATTCCTTCATCATCATTAACGCTACTCAGATCCGGATCCAAAGATAAAAAACCAACAATATGAATTACTTGATTAAGTTTATATGAAGAATCATTGTACACCTGTATAAATTGCATTAAATTTTATAAGTATATTTAACATTTAAAATATTTCTAAATTCAAATTTTTACCAACTTTTACAATGCAAGCTTTTCCATCTTTACTTGGAATCGGCATATTTAATAGATGATCTTTCGAAACAAGTTTTGCAGTTTCATTTTTTATATCAATTTCTGTAGAATGAGATGGACCAGCTCCTTCAGTATTTTCATGTTTTTTTTCTTTTTTTTTAACAGAATCAGAGCAATCCATTGATTCAAAAGCTTCTTCTAAAGGTCTCTTAATTGACTTACTTATTGCCATTGGTTCATCGATAACTTGGCTGGAACTGTATGTATGCTTATCCTTAGCCCAATCATTTAATCCAGGAATGGAAACAACTATCCAAGTTTGTCTTTCAGCATTTTCATTACTTTCATCATCAAATAAAATATTTTCATTCATCTATGAAAAATTTATGATTTATTTTGATTTGAATTTTAAAAAGTAAGAAATAAATGAATTCTAATATTTATTGTAAGCTACAGCATACATGAAATTAACAATTCTTGAAGTTTTTCACACCTGGTGCAGCTTTTAATTTTTTTATAGGTCTTGCACAAACTAGGCATCAAAAATTCAATGCTAGTTTAGCAATCATTAATGAGGAGAGTATTTTTCTGAGAAAAAAACTTCTCATCAATAAAAACTAATTCTTGAAAGTGCTTTAAGAAGACCGTGTATTTTTTTTAGGTAATAATGAAAAAATATGATATTTAATGAATATTTACCTCACATTTTGCTTCATCACTATACATACCACTTTTAGTGGTATTTTCACCAGTTTTCTTATTGGTAATTTTGTATTTTTTGAAAAAAAACTCCGGATTACGCATATCTTGAATCATTCCTTGAAATCTGACAAGTTGACCATTTTTGAAATTATCCAAAGATCCATTATTTAGTGAAGGAATTTCAAACAAAGTATCGATGTTTTCTAAAATTTTTTCACATTCACTTTCGTTTGAAAGAAAATATTCTATCGTCCAGTCTTTTGGATTTATTTCTGCAATTACAGGCATTGATGATTAAAGATAATGTATCGTTTGTGTGAACAACACAATATACAAATTAAATTTTCAATGATTTTATAACCTATTAGATTCGCGTTTACACAAATACTCACTCATTTTTAGGAGTAAAATGGATTATTTTTTAAAAATTTATTCTTTCACGAATTTACAAGGACGATAATAATTATCTAGATAACAAGAACAAATCAGTTGATAAGCAATAGCAGTACAGGATAACGAAAATTCAAACAATCGCTCAGCAGGCAAGACTATAAAAGTAAACAGTTAATAATGAGCGGGAAAAAGAAGTCAACAATGGCACATGCAGCGCCACAAGTTTTTGCAAGTTGTTGATGTTTCAAAGTTTTTTTACTGTCAGCGCTCTGCGCTTTGGTTTCAGGCTCAGTCAGAAGCCGCGATGCCAAAAGCAGCAGAGAAAAAAAATCTGACGGTCGCCGAACC